CCCCCCACACCTGCTCCTCACTTCTCCCTGCGCCGATCGTGGATGTGGGCGGGAGGCGAGCATGAGGTGGGGAGGAGGTGTGGCGCGCAGCTTCTGTGGAGCCGTGAACAGGGCCAACTAATCGATGATTGAAAAAGTTGACAACTTTTTCAATAATCGATGATAATCGATTATGTCGATTAGTTGTTGCAGCCCTACAAGTAGTGCAAGTGCAGTAACCAATGACAACATAATTTCTGTATAATAGCGAAAAACCAAGGTCAAATGGTAAACTATAGTACACGGCTTCTTTTCACTGTTGTGCTGGGTATTTTTAAAGGCCTCTGCAAAACTTCTGGATGCAATCTGCACCTGCCTAAGAATGCTTGCACTGCATATAAATCCCAAACAGACACTAGAGCACACTGTGTTGTAAATAAATGGTAGGGGACATTAATTTAGCCAACTTAAAAGTAGTACTAAAAGGCCGGGTGTTTGCCTTAATGCACTCTGTGCAATAAAGCAAAAAACATCCAGACTTTAGCAAATAGCAAACTCCCCCTCCCCTGCAGCCGCTCCTCTCCTCCTACTCAATGTTCCACAAACGTCCTTTTTGTGGAATAGGGTACTGAGGTCAGAGGAGCCATAGATTCCTTCTGCCTTCAGTCAAGCTGTGACTGCAAGGGTTGGGGTGTGGCTGGCCGCACACTGTGTGTATCAGTGGACACACACAGCTAGGTGCCTCCACAGCAGTCTGCTAGCTGATGGAGGCACCCGTACAGGGATAAAGGGGGGCGGGGGCGAGCAGTCTAAATACCACTGGAGAACGAAAAAATTAAAAAGATAAGGAATACAAATTTTTAATAGTAAGTCTGGCCCCCATAAACAACAAAAGTTAAAAAAACACAAAAGTTTTAATGTTGCTTTAAATCGTATAGGAAGTACTCTTATAGTACTCTACAGGATAATGTAAAAAATTTAGAGTTCCTCTCTGGCCCTTGAGGATGGTCAACTATACCAGAACGGTCTACACAGGATGCCTATAGATATACAGCAGTAGCCAGATGATCTGACCTCTGTAAGATCTTACAGGGACCGTTTCTTTAAGAGATCCTGTCACTCTTTCCAAAGATTTAGGCACATTACATCCGCTAAAAAAAGTAATGAAGCACTCTTGCTTCCTTTCTTGAACCAGTAAGTGCGCCCCATTTTGTGGAACCTCCGACACTTCTGCTGCTGCCCACACTCGGCACTCCTGCAGAAAAGCTTTGTCTTGATCTGGAAAGACAGCTCAGTCTGTCTTCAGACACATGCATGAGCTGTGCAAGCAGCAGATGCATGTAATCCTGGGGCTCAGCATGGGTACAATGTACAGAGATTGCAAAATGCAAACACTTCCCTAGACAGGCTGTGCGCAGTCATTCCAGATCACGAGGCTACAGATCACTGCAGCAGTGGTGGACTAATGGGGAGCAGCTGTAGGCTGAATAAGCCTCCGACACACGCTGAAGGGTCGAAGGTTTTACAAAGCATTGGAGAACATTGCTTTAAAATGGACTAACTTGTTGATTCAAGAAAGGGAGCAAAAATGATGTGCTTTACCACTGTTTTTACAGGATGAAATGTGCCTGCATTAATGGGAGTAGTGACAGTGTATCTTTGAATTAGGGCTGCAGCTAACTATGTAATAGATAGCCGAATAATCGACGATTGAAAACGTTGGTAACGTTTTCGATCGTCGATTTTAATCGACTAAATTGAATTGTTGTTGCAGCTCTACTTTGAATGGAAAATGGTCATAATAGAAACTGCCATTGCAGCATTGCTAGCTACCTTGAGGACCTGAAGATCCTCTTGATTCAATCGTTCGGGCTACTGACCCAGGACAAGTGCACATAGTTCTGACTTTCTTGATATGCTTAACAGCCAAGCAACTAGCATTACAAGAAGGGCCAGAAGTGGCAGCCCTATACCACTCTAATTACCTGAATGTGCATGTTTCTGCACTAATCCTAAATGCAATAGCAATCATAAACTACATATTGGTTAATCATTATCTCTCCCCCCCCCAATACTGGTTGATCATAACTTCTCAGAACTTTTGGCGCATTTAGTATAAGGTTTTCTTCTGATCTAAACATTGGTTAGAACATGTAATGATGATTTTCTATTTGGCCTCATCCACACAGGGTAGAGTGGGGCTGTACAGATCCTTGCGGCGTGCACGGCCGCATCGGGCCGCTCACGGGAAGGACAGGTGCTGCGTGTGATAGTAGCAGCAGCAGCAGCCTGTTTTTGCTCACCCGAGCTGCACATCCAGGCAGGTGTCCGTGCTCATCCGAGCACGGACACCCACGCGGATGTGCAGCCCAGGTGAGCGTACGGCCGCGTCCTCCCACAGGGAAGAACAGGCTGCTGTGTACAACCACACGCAGCACCTGTCCTTCCAGGGAACGGCCCGATACGGGCATGCACGCCGCACGGATCTGCACGGCCCCACTCTACCCTTAGGCATAATTGTAAATGGACATTGCAATGGAGCTTCCTATCCAAATGGACACATCAGTCACACAAGACAGACTAAAACGGGTGAATACTACTCCAGCTCCACCTTTGCAATGAAAGACTATCCCCAAACAGGAATAAAGGGGGGGGAGGACAGTCGGAAAACCTACACCATATTCGATAGACTGATAACATTGCTTTGTGGAACCCATCTGTAATTTGACAGAAGGTTTCCTATGTGTGGGGGGGAAAATAAAAAAATACATCCATCCTGCTTGCTTCTAAAACACAATTACCATTTTTTGTTCCTCAGCATACGCACTTAACAGGTATCACATATACAACCAATAACTTTCCCATATGTTTCGGTTCTAACAAAATGCAACCACACAAAGCAGGGGAGACAAATATTTAACAGCTTAACACGACTATTAATAAGCGATTTACAGTCAGACTGTAAGATAAAAGGTAGACTGGGTGGGTGACAGAGTTCACATCTTCAGTTCAATTGTGTTTCTAAGTAATGAACCATTTGTACTGAGCTTTTCAGGATACACACTTATGTAGGACTGGATGAGCTAAGCACCTGATTATGTCAGGTCTGAGCCGTCTTTACATTTCTTGTCCCTGTCCAACAGTCAATACTTAAGTCCAATGTCTGCACAGAGCATAATCCCATGGAACTCCCAGAGCCACCATAAATATCCTCTTTCTCCTGAGGAGGGGGCAGCATAGGGGCAGAGCCTCCAGACACAGGAGACCTGTGGGACCCAGGAATGGAAGGCAGTCAGATGTTATACCCAAGAACACCCAGAAATAGAAACACTGACCCTGTAGGTCTGAGCCAGAAAAACATCCGTGCATAGAATATGGGTCACTATGTTACAAATCTACACAGACACCACTTCCAACAGTCTGAACATTCTCTTTCAAATACCCATTACATGAAAAATCCCTCACACTTCACTACCCTGTCAGCTTTATTTTAGATCCAAATTCTTTCCTACAGATCACGCAAAAAACACAACCTATAATAAGAAACAGGTCTTCCATTTACTTAATATGAAGGCTGATATAAAGTGTAAACTGCAATAAGCTCCTTATTTCCCATTATGTTTTGGTCTGTTAAATATATAAATTATATTATATACACACACTAGCTATATCTACCTATCTGCATTCAGTTAGTGCTGATTCTGCATGAAAGCTTGTGAGCTAATAACTTCCTGTTCTATCTGCTGACATATCAGTTTTCATTGTTCACAGTTCCCTGTGTGCTACAGAACACCTCCTCCCTATGGTGTTAAGATAAGGGAAGGTGCTCTGTAGTCCTAAAACACTTCCTGTCCTAGGATGACAATGCAGGTCCTCCTTAGATACAAATACAGTATGTGGGCATTTTTACCTGAGGAAAACTGGCGGGACCACCACGGGACAATAAAGAAGCAATAAAAGCCAGAAAAATAATGCAGCCACCACATTTAAGGACTAGTAAGCTGCAATATACTACAAAGTTTTTTCAACATTTCACTACATTTGAGTCTCAAATCTATAAATCTACAGCCAGACTAAGCTGACCATGACTGGCACAGCTATTATTGTCCATCTTGAGAGATCTGCTCATCTGAGGCAACCTTATGCTGGCCATACACAACCAACTTATTCAGAATGAATCATTTAAAATGATTTGCTTGAAAGCAATTGCTCACAATTGGCCCCTTGGAGGGAAGTGAAATCCCCAGCCATTTTGGGGTATAGGTCCAAGTATGCATGATGGAACCAGGGGATAGAGTCCACAGACCTGAGTAACTGCTATAACCACAGGTACAGGTCCTTATTTTTATAGAATGTTATTGTAACCCCATCACCTAACAATAAATGTGCATATTAACCACAACTACTTAAAGCAGAACTTAAGTGACACATGTTTATTAACCTTTGCAGTGGGGCACACTAAGGATTAACTGCTCATTTATGCCTAGGTTATATAAAAAAAAAAAAAAAAAAAAAAGTTATTCACCCGACCTGTCACTGCGCTTCCTGCAGCCTCCCATCCTATGCTGCAGCGATGGTATGGCCCTTGGCGTCCTATACACAGCGTACAGAACGTGATGACTTTAGACCGCTGCAGTGAAGGGGGAGCAAGGAGAAAGGGACCAGTCTAAGAGCAAGCTGGCTCGGAGGATCAGGCGAGTATAACTTTTTTTTACCTAGACAAAAACAGAGCAGTTAACTCTTGTAGTGCGGGGGTAGCCCTACTGCAAGGGTTAATAAAATCCTCAAGGAGAGAGCCCCAGAATAGAGGGGTGAAATCTCAACAGCATCAAAAACAGCAGAAACTTGTGTTTACTACACAGAACAGACTGGTGTGCATTTTTTACTTGTAGGCAGATTCTGTGTGATGGTGCTCAGGAGTTAACAGAAGTCAATAGACAATGGGAACATTTTCGGTCAGACGTATCAAAGTCCTTTCACATTCATGTAGTGTTATAATCTTAAAGAAAATTCCAGCTTACCTAAATAGATGTCTCCAAAGGAGCCGCTTCCAATCTTTCTGCCCAACCTGTACTTATTTCCCACTCTGAGCTCCATCTTTTAACCTATGGAACACATGAATAAAATGGAAAAAGAAATGTTATTGCTTTTGTCTGTATATGCCAAACTTCTGAAGTAGAAAATGAATACAGAAAAAAAGAACAGAAAACAAAGTATACCAATAATTTGTAGAAAAAGAAAGTATTTATGTAAATAAAAACAACTGTACAATAAACAGCTAGAGAAACACACTGACATTAGACACTTGTTCTCTGTCCAACGAGCAACACAGTGCAGCTCACCATTTGCCCAAGAATGTGGTCAGCACCCAGCACGCCAAGCAGGGGAACATTCCGTTCAGGAATCTCAGAGGGGAAAAAAAATAAATAAAAGTTTTGCCCATCTGACAGTTTGCAGGTGCTCTCCAGCTGAACAGGAGAGGGAGAGATCTGCAACCACACTATTTACATATCAGAAGAGATTCCATTTTTGTCCTTAGAGTACTATGCTTAATTACCACATAGTTCATAAAGTGATTATTAAAACAGAACTCAAAAGGTTTTGGCTATAAATGCATTTACACAGGGCACCCAAACCAAGAAAACAGCCATTGTTTAAAGGGGTTGTTTTTAACCTTAATAATAGAGTGTTAGATCACTTGCAGGACAGGTCAATAGGGTGTAAAGATAGTGACTACAGAAATAAATAAATATATATAACACACACCTCTCCTATGAAACCACAACATAGAAAGTTTCCTAGAAACTAGTTATTTAGGAAGCAAGATCAATAAGAAAATTCTGTTCACAAAAAATATATATATCTAATCATTAATTGAAAATCAAGTGTTTTCAGTGTTCACTGAAACACAACTCTCCTCTGATTTTTCTTTTTTTGCAAGTCCAGTCTCTGAAGAGCCGTGAAAGAGTGGACCTATCCCAAGACAAAAGTGGAGGTTTTGAAACAGTTGGTGAAATAAAATAAGAGCAGAGTTGTGGTTCAGGGCCACAAATGGGGACTTGAAATCAACTTTGGCATTGCCAAATTAGGAGTTATGACATTTTATTAAAGTAGGATTATCCTTAAATTTCCCAAGTCTTATAAACTGGTAGGTAACGACATGCCAGCAAACCTTCTTATTAGATACTGTTGAGGATCTGTTATTTGCAAACACACCCTGTACTTGCAGTAAATGAGGACACTTCTGAGATCATTAGGAGTTTACTGACAGGTGCATTTGACATGCTTTATGCAGATTTTGCTGGAAATGAACAAAAGCCTGTCAACACAGGCCATTACAGAGCAATTCTAGGCAAATTCTTTAAAGCTGCTATCCAGCCAACAATGCAACCATGCTAAAGCCAGATGTGAACAGGTCCTTCAACTGCTGTGTGCCAAGTGATAATTTGTACTGATAAAATGCCCTGAAAACCACTGCTTGCATGTAGTTATAGTTCAACAAGCTGGTAAATCATTCTGACTGATATCTTCCATTGTGTATGGAAAAATAGGCAAATGGACTATACACACATGGGTATGCAACTAGGGAAGTCGGAAACAGAGAAGGATTTGGGGGTCATTATAGACCGCAGAATGAAGAACAGCTCGCAGTGCCAGGCTGCTGTAAACAAAAGCTAGCAGAGTCCTGTCTTGCATTAAGAAGCAGGGTTGTGGAATTTGTATCGCCCGGGACATGTAGTTCCGGGCGCCGGGCAAGTTGTTTTGTCACTATTTTAGCCCTGCTATGGACAAGTAGCAGGGCTGGGTTTTTTTTCTTAAATGAGCGCCGAGAGCGGGGAGTGTGGAGCGCCGAGAGCAGGGGGTGTGGATGGAGCGGGGACGGAGCGCTGAGAACTGGGGACAGAGCGGAGGGCGTGGAGCGCCGAGAGCGGTGGGGCAGGGACGGAGCGCTGAGAACTGGGGATGGAGCGGAGGGCATTTTTGTATCAGGACAAGTAGATTGTCATGAGGGAAAAGTAGATTCGGCCCCCGCTTTAGTCCTTGGACAAGTAGTTTTTTCTAAAATTCCCACACCCCTGAGAAGGGAATGTATTGCAGGGACAAGTCTATAATTTTGCCTCTTTATAGATCACTGGTTCGGCCACATCTGGAGTATGCGGTCCAGTTTTGGTCACCAATACTCAGAAAGGATGTCCTTGAGCTGGAAAAAGTCCAGAAGAGGGCAACCAAACTCATTAAGGGGTTCGAGGATCTGAACTATGAAACAAAGTTGTTAAAATTAAATATGTTCTCGTTGGAGGTTAGGAGATTAAGGGGGGGGGGGCATGATTTTTATGTATAAACTATTCAAGGGTGACAGCAACCTCAGTAACAAACTTTTTACGGTCAGCTCTGTAACAAAGACCAGAGGGCACAACCTAAAATTGGTGGAAAAAAAATGTCACCACACAGGGCGCAAGGGGTTCTTCACAGTTAGAGCGGTTAAGGTCTGGAACTCGCTGCCACAGGAAGTGATTTCAGCTAAGAGTGTGGAATCATTCAAGAGACTCCTGGACGAGTTCCTGGGAGACCAGAACATTCAGGGGTACAGGTATAGCTAAGAGAAAAATCACACATGGACTCATATACACGCACACATCAGCTCATAAATGCATACACACAATAGGTTGGACTTGAAGGACTTATGTCTTTATTCAACCTCAAATACTATGTAACTATGTAAAGAGTAATAGTTTTTGTACTCGGAATGCTACATCACCACTTGTGTTTCTTGAACAGTCTTTGAACATTTGTTACATCTTCCCAAAACCAGGCCAGAACAACAATTCAGGGTGAGCAAATCAAGCAGGAAGCTATTACCAACCTTTGTTGATACTGTAAGATAAAAGCAGGTTTATCAATGACATCCTACTGAACAGTCAGCACAGGTTACAAGAAAACCACAGGCAGAGGGATAATTATATCAGCTGAGGTTGGAGAATAACCTATTATCGACACAAACAACAGTAACCTACCCAATAAAATACTGTGTACAGAAAAATCTTGTCTTAGTTCAGTGCTATGTAAACAGGCTGTAAAGTTATGTATGCAAATACAATTCAATATACTGCATGACACCCAGTGTACTTTTATGAAAGACTGAATAAGGCTAAATAGGAAACAAAGCAGAGCACTCAGCTGCTGAGCAATTTGCCAAACCACACAGGATCATCTGTCAACAGGGAATGTTGGTTCCTCCCTGGGCAAGCTTTTATTAATCTGTGGAGGACATCACAGACAGTGGACAAGTTCCACTTCTCAACTAGAAGGTGTTCTCCATAAACTTCAGAGGGCTGTTGAAGGTATGATTTCAGGCCTGGTGCACACCTTGGCAGCAGTGTTTTTGAGCATTTGTACGCACAGGTTCAGCGTGTGGTTATTTGTACGTTTGGCAAATTTGTCCGCACATGAAGACGCGCGTTTTGACTGGCAGCTTAAGAAACATTGCTGTCAATGGACAAACGCGTGTACGCAAATGTTCAACATACTTCTGCAGCGCGTTTTCTTGCATTTCGATATAAGTCTATGTGGGAAAACCAAGCTTGAAACTGCCAAAAGAAGCTAATGTACTTTTTTTCTGCTTTTAGCGTTTTCCTACTGGCGCTTTGCTGCTCAGGTGTAAACAGGAGCCATTGAATATCATGGGATTTCTTGTGCCGGGTGTTTAAAAGCGCTTTTCCTACTGCTCAAAAACGCTTCAGTGTAAACCAGGCCTAACAGTTACAGGATGTCCCTAAAAACAGCTTTGGGTATAAACACACCCAGTCAAGTGGTCCATCAATTTCTGCACATACCCAATGGAGACAGGAGCAGGTTGAAGTTTATGTATTACACCCTCTGTTTTCCTTAGGGACTATGGTCATTGAAACTGAAAAAGAGGTATAATCCACAATTGTGAGTTGTCACTGGAACAGGAAGGGAGAGGGGAAGTCTTCAACAACACCACACACACCTGGCATGGGTTTATAAAAAGAAAACATTTTGGCTTTGTCCTCAAAGAAAACAATGGCGATCATACAAAAGTAAGCGAGTTTAAACCACCTTTCCTGCTGATTTCAGATGGCAGAAGACATAAGGCCTATTTATACAGATTGGATGTCTTATCAGTTGATGATCATCCAAATCCATAGCCAGTATTAACAAATATTTTGTACATGGAGAATTACAACGAACCTATGCTTTGCAATAATCTGCACCTCTTCCACCGCAGCTACTTTTCCAAATCTTACTCTGATCCCTCAGACAACTGGAGCAATGCAAAAAAACCCTGTGTAAGTTTATCAGTCTGGTCAGATCTTACAGGGCTAGGGACTCTCCCTTTTGCCTCCACACGGCAGCTATTAGTCATTTAGGCACACAGAGAAGAATTGTGGGAGGAAGAGAAGCCTTCCCCCATAGCCAGAAGTACCAGATATCATATGTCCATACAGTAAGCACACAGGGAGGAAGGCAGGGAGGACAGAAGTCGACAAATAAGCAGTGGGGCTGGCTATTAATTTAACCTGTTACTATGCACTATCACTAAACATGGCATTTGGAAAAAAGTTACATCTCCCTCAAATTTGATGATCAATGGCAACATTCACAAGATCAATTGACTCCCGGAAAAGGATGTGGGTGGTGCTGCACCTCCGTACACATCCTTAACCAGTAAACTCTATGAAATAGTACACCATCCACGCGTTAATGGGATACTCTTATTCTAAAAAAACAGGTGGGCAAACTGTCCATCTCTGGGCAGAGGCCATAGCAAAAATTTTACATTTCTCAAAAGTACAGAAAAAAAAAAAAAAAAAAGGAGGAAATAATTTTTTTTTTTTAATAAGCAATATCAATAGTAAAATGTAATCCAATAAAAACAATGCAGTGATTCATACCAGTCAACCAGATTTTTCCCTTTCATCAGAATTATAATACAGGATTTATATACAATTAATACAATTTCAGTACAGGAGGTAGATCTGATGCAGTAGGTCACAGCATTTTGCTTTAAGACCACAGAGTAAATAAAAGATATACATACACAGACAAATGGACATGCTTGGTAAACATACAGGTGTTTACCCC